ACAAAACCTTGTCGAAACGTTGTACATTTGCTGTCATATTAAACTTATATTAAAGTTTTTCTTCATTACCCATTTAAGCCGTCTCCAGCCATTATACAATACACAAATTAAATTCTGTAGTAACTAATAAAATTTTAAAATCTAAAATAGAGGGAGTCCAAAAGTTACTGAACGACTTTATTTATTGAATAGAATGAGAGCTATGTATAATAAACAATGTCAGTTTATGGTAAAATGGAGCCTAATACCTCAGGTTTGTCCATGGCCAGTGTCACAATTAGTAGGACTCAACATGGGTACCATTTATGTCTTGAAGGATGTTAAGGTGATATTCGATGTCCACTTATGTGTGCTAGCATCTCTGGAGTAATCATTGCAACAGCACTGGTTACTTGGCCATGCAAGATTGCCATATCCAGTACCTTTGTCCTACTGACAATATCCTTTAGATACCCTCATCTAAACTAGTGAGATAACTTCTAATACCAGGCTCCCACATACCATAAACTGAAACTGTTTATCTCATGTGGTTCCTATTCTATTTGTGGTTCAAACATTTATGGACATCCTGTAATACTACAAGTGTTATGAAGGTTTCACAAACCTGGATAATAATCATTGGCTTTAGACATTTTTATCCGAGTACCAGTCTTTTTCTGTAATTGAGCAACTGTTTCACCACCTTTACCAATGATAGCCCCAGCAGCCACAGAGGGCACCAGAATCTTAAAATGATAAGTTCCATTGACTGAAATTAACAAAACATAAGCAACTAATTACAACATTTTTCTTTTCTAAAAACTGCATCTCATTATAAAATAAACTACATAAAATGTATCACATTCATAATACAATTTATCATAATTAATTAGTTTGTACAACGCTTCTGTTACCAGATGGAATAGCATTCTTCAATAACATTTTCTAAACTACTGTTACCAGAAGACCCTTATTTAAATAGTGTAAGAAGGTGGCATTTATTTACCATTACCATATGACACTTGTTTACATACTTCGTTACCAGATGAAACATTTATCTATTCTTAACATATGACACTTTCTAATATAATGTTACCAGTAAGTCTTATACTTAAAACAGTATTACATGGTGACATTTATCTACTGTTACCAGATGTCATGTTTGTTACCAGATTAAGTTATCTACTGTCATCAGATGATACTTACTCATGTACTGTTAACAAATGATACTTATTACGATATTGTTACCATATGACACTTGGAGATGGCATGTACATTATCATTATTACTTTACAATCTTTATATACTATTATTAGCTGAAAATTATCCATTGTAGTCATATAATATTTGCTCTCCTGACATCAGTTTACAGATATTTACCAATGACACTTTTTTTTTTTATCACTGGCAGATATTTGTTTGCTGTTACTTGTTCTCTACCCTTTAAATACATAAACATTTATAATATTAGTGTTTACAGCTTATAAACAATTAACTGTTCCTTAATTTACTAATACAACCAGTTTAAAGTTATTTTATCCTGCTTGTAAATTATTACTTTTAACTTTACTAATTATTTTTCTCTTATGTTAACTGACACCATATTTTGGTCCTTGTGGTTCACATGAAATGTAATGGTCTAAATGCATTCTTTTACAATGTGCACATTTATTCTAATAATTCTATACTTGATGTTGTATAGACTAATATACAATTCCTTGGAGAAATAAAATCAGCATATCTTCCTATTACAAGAAACTTCAGTAAACACTGATTTGTGGTTTATGAGAATATTTATTTATGTTAAGATAAACAAGGTGTGCTAATATTTGAAAAACAAAAAAGACCAATGTTTTAGAGAATGTTGTCAATCATCCAAAATGTTATGAATGCAAAGCTTCTACATAATAAATTCTGTATAATATTTTCTCAGTGTTAGATAACCTAATATAGAGCAGGATTTTAGAAGAAAGGTAGTAGTAGTACTGTCAAGTTTCTATTTTTACTTATAATTTTTTCTGTTCTTTAATTTTGTTGGCTATACATTAAAGGGCCAAAATCTAATTATTGGTTTGTTCCACTTTTCAGGAATTGGCTGCTTTTTATTTTATTAAATTTGTTGGAAAACATTAATTATCTCAAAAATTTGTTATTTATAAAACAGTTGCATCTCTACTCTGATCTCCAACATGACACGAGGCCTGATATGCATTACAGACATTATAAACACTCAGAAAACCCAAAACATACAATGATTTTTTAATCCAATATAAATCACCCGTGGTTTCTTAGGAAACACACAGATTATTATTTTTGTAAGGACAGGTAAGTTATAAAATCATTAAATTGCATTGTAAGTAAGAATGGTCTCCAAGTGAAGATGGGCAGTACCTAATAATCCACTTCACAACAATGATGTATTTTACATTTATGACAAAAAAGAATTGAGAAATCAGAGTTCTGTACTTACTGGATATCAAAAGAACATACTAAATTAGATTGATGTACTTTTGCTAGTTGCTTTTTTTTGTAATTAAGAAATATCTACACTTCTTAAACTACAGAACTTTCCATAAAGCTCCAATGAATTAGGTATTTCTGTTTTAAGACAATGACAAAAGATAAAAGCAAATACAATTTTCTTTTCTGCTTTTTATAGGACCTTCAGACATGGCCTCCAACACCTTAACAAAATCCAAACAAATCAGAATGAAAACATAAACATTATGACAGGGAATAAACTTTTATATAAGTGTTTTACTATAACTCAAAATTTAAAGCCCAACTATAATTCCACTAAGTTGATAGGTGAAGAAAAAATTTAGCTAAGCAATAAAATATGGGAAAAGCTGATGGAATAAAATCAACCTTCTCAAGCAAAATTAAGAATTCATGGCAAATTTGATCTGTTTCATTCTTTTCGGAATTTATTTTTTAAAACTATCTTAAGACAAATTTGTGTTAACGTGTTATTTCATGGTTCATTTTCATTAGAAAGTTGATTTCTTAATCTATCATTTTGTCACTCAAAGTGAAATTTTAAATATTACTTATGAAACACTGAAGATAAGTGAGTGATAATTTTCAACAAATGTCAGTGTTGTTACTATACATACGTGTTCATAGATAATAACTTTGAAATGAAAACCTGGTATGTTCAAAATGTCCATCAGTTTAAGTAAATTACATAATGATTATTTTAACTTGTGAATATTAAAGAAAATGAAAAAAGGTTAAAATTAACTAAAATGAAATAAGATGTAAATCAACAAGTCACATTTCATCAGAAATAACCTAATTTGGTTCTATACCTAAAGCCTTTCATTTAATGTGGCAAGATCTTCAATTATGATGGAAAAAACTAGACTTACAGGTACACACACAGTACTTTGAAAGGCTTGTGTACATAAAGTGTAGTCTGAAACAAATACAAGCACAGACTACCACTTCTAAGTGCATGAATGTTTTCTTTGTAACACATAATTTAGCCACAGAATTATCCAATCTGAAGTAAAAATAATTGCTGCTTTCATGAAGGCTTTAAATTCTTAACGTATTCACAGAGTTACATATTATATTTGACTATTTTTAAAACTATAAATAGCTCATGACAGGTATATAGCCACAATAAGAAATATCATGTAGGATGCAAGTGAAAACTAATGCTAATACTACTACTACTTGTTAATGAAAGACACAAAGTATACTGTTGTAAGCTACATTTTCAATGTTTTAATTTAAATGTAAGCTTGAGAATGCATGAGATTATGATCTAAGTGGTTTCATTAGTTATAAATATGAGTAGACAATTAGAAGTGAGCCAGTCAGTTTGCAGTTAGTAGAAGGCTAGTTATTCAGTAAAGTATTTGGATAAGTGTTAATCATTGTATATATTCAGTTCCTTGATTCATTGGTCATGAAATTATAAATGTAAGTTTATTTGTATATTAGTTGTAGTATCATTAGTGAGTAACTCTTTGCTAAACATGAAAAACATTACTTGTGAACTTCGTTAGGCCTACAGGTAAAACTGTGTATAAATGATAGTAGTCTACAGGTTAAGGAATAAGTAAACTAATTTATGATTACGAGGACTGTACTTTGAATTATTTTGACAAAATTATTTAAAAGAACTTGCCCAAAAAGAGAAAAATATTACAACAATGGCAAAATGTTTAGATTAATTCAAGTTTCAAGATATTCCAGCAAAACAAGGCACTCTCATTGAAGATTAAATTACCTTCTTTAGTCTTACATTTTGTTAGTTAGAAATGTAGTAATAATAACAATTTGAAATGAAAAGAAAATATTTCCCTACTCAGCATATACAATACAGTACAAGGTAACACACTATAATGAAAAGAAAAACTAACAAAAAAGACAAAGTATAATACACTGCTTTTTTAACAATTAGTTTGCAACATGTTTTCATCAAAGAGAAAATTATGTAAAAAGAATGGTTCAAGTTTTCTTTTTCTCTGTTTCATGAAATAAAACTATAAATATCCTTATTTAAGGTCTAGAGAAATGGTAGTCTATTAACTTATATTTATGATTAAACAGCTATTTATTAGTGAAGGAGTTCCATATAATGTCTGCATGTAGAACTAGCTGATAATATTATATAAAACACATCTCAATAACTCTTATCCTGAGAAGATATATTTACAGAGGGCATCTTCCAATAGGCTGGAGGATATTTGAATTATTATTAACACATGATTATTATCTGTGTTACTAGTAAAAAAAAAAAACACATAGAAAAAATATGTCTGCCTCTTCTAACTATTTGAATCCTAGAAAACAGAAAGAAATGAGATTTTGAGAATACAGGAAGTTGTGTTGTAAATTAAAAGTCTAATAATGTTTACACCAAACACAGTATAAAACAACTTGAGAGTAAAATTACAAAATTTAGTATCTGATATATGAACTTCAGCCCAGAGATAAGCTACACAGTAGAAAAATACAAAGCTAGGAGAGGCAGAAAGAAAAAGCAAAATGTTAAAACTAGCCCTTACCTACATAATACATATAACATCAAAATGTCAGATTTTTGCCTAAACACTTCTTACCTTCTACAAGTTTATAAACATTTGAATTTTCCATTGTTTTCAGGTTTTACACACCGATTTTCAATAATACTTATATACACAAAGCTTCAGTGCTAAGTACCATACACTTACAAATTTTGGTCGAAGCTGTTATGACATTTTCAGTTTTTGGATGTTTGTAGTACATAAGCATCATTGTCAAGATTTCTACTTGCTGATAGTTTACAATATAAACTCCTATAACTTTCCTGATAATGCATGCAAGTTTAGGAATATTGTTTATAAACATAATTTTTTGACAAGAAAATGGCCATAATGCAATGGTTTCTTTAAAAAAAAGAAATTTATCATGGTTTTAAAATGAGATTGAAGAATTTGGTTATGGAACAACAAAAAACTTATTAATGCTGATTAAATAATAAAAAAGCTAATTATGTTGGTACCAGCTTGATAATCATTTTAAAGCAGGCTATTAAAAAAAAAAAAGAGCAGAAATATGTTGTTCACAGGTGACCTATCAAATGATCATTGCTTTGCTAATCTAATGCTTTTGTAAATAGTGCTAATATTAAAACAAAAATACAATGTAACAGTAAATAATTTCACATTCTGGTGAATATTACATAAGCAAACAACAAGTCTTTAGACACAGTATTTTTATAACTTATGAAATAATTATCTCAAATAGATACATTACTGCAAAATTTATTCAGTA